ATTTTCGACCTGATGCATTGGAATGTCGAGTCGCAGGCTCTTTTCAAGGAAGAGAAAGTCAACCTCCGACTCACAATATATTCTTTTTTCGACCCACCAATTGATTGTCGCTCATCTGCTGGCGCAAAAGGGTTCCCGTCACTCCAAAAGAACGAGGGGTAGTTCTTTGGAATCTTGAAAATGATGAACATCATGTTCCAATCGGCACAGTTGCATTGTGGCCGACTTCTTTGTTGGCCATTCATCATCCTCAAATTGTGGCACTCGGCACAGGATGGAAGATTCTTAAAAGCAATGCCCTGCGAGAGATCGGCGGCCCATCCGAACCTGCCACCATACCGGCCGTTCCCATAGGTGAAACATACCCAAGAAGATCGTTCTGGTCGATCTTGTAGGGTACAGAAGAGTTGAAGTGATATCTTCACTTCTTTCCCTAAGAGGTTTCGACAAGGCAATAAGAAAGGTTGGTTTCGAAAGTGCAACATGTTTTTTTTTGGTGATTCCGTTATCTATTTTGTGTTTACCTTTCGAGCCATAACAGGCCAGTAGAAACTTGTGGGATGCGAAAGTCTTATGAGTTCTTCTGCTATCTTTGATTTGACAGCGCGTTCGTCTCCGCTGCTTGGTCCCAGAGAAAGAAGATAAGTGTTGCATCCAGAATGGTAGTCGTCTTGTGGTGTGCCGATGGAAGCGAAGGTACAATGGGCTGATCCCTTGTTTTTTTTGGTATTGTTGGGATCAAAGTCATCCGACCACAAGACGACTTCAACCGGAATAGCATCTTTGGAATCCTCGGAACACCACGCTGCGAGTTTCTTTTCGCGTGGTGAGGATCCATGGAGGGTCCGAACAGCAGCACTGTAGGGAAGGTCCACGAGTGCTTCCAGCCGTTTCCGGTTTGCCAAATGGTACCGGTACTGGACGATTTCCTGGATGGAAACGTAGACATAACCAGAGATACCCAGGATTTCGATTGTTGGTCGGGAAAGAACGTCTCGAATGGATTTGGTACCATCAGTGACTAGTTTCCGGAGTACCTTTGGCTCTTCTGGGACACGAAGTGGAAGCATAGTTGTGTTTGCCTTGTTTGCAGCGCCATGCACTTTTGTATAAAATAAAAGCGCCGTGAACACTCTTTGTTGATGTTTACTCAGTTCACTGGCAAATGATGACAGTAGAAGTGAGTAAATTGCATGACCATGATCAACACTTTCGACAGTATTGTTGTCGCTATTCCTATTGACAGTAGCTGCAACTAACAGTCTGGATGGGTCACCGTTTGTCTCGTTTCTCCGGAAGTAGCTTGCTGTCATTGGAATTCTTGTAGTTTTTGCTGTGTTTGGGCGATCATCTACTTTCCTTGGAAAATAATTGCCAAAGGACCCAAGATTTACATCATCGCACTTCTTGATTTGAATCTCTAGCCAATCAGAGCCAAGTTCAGGGATGTAGTCAGCCTGATTGCTATGACCTTCTTCTGTCTCGTCCGTAGAGTAATCGTTGGAAAGGGACCATGCATCTCCCTGATTGTCGGGGGTTGAAGGGTACTCTCTTGTGGATGTCAGATTACTAGTGTCAAGGAGCAGGCTTTCGTCTTGAATCTATTGTGGATCCTTGAGTGCTTCAAATTCTCTCACGCATTTTGAGTGTGTTTTTGTTTTCAGATGTTGTTGTATCTTTTGACCTAGATCAGTTGAGCATTTACATGCGCGACATAGATACCATTGATGACCACAGCAGGCCGTATTACAAACAAGCCGAGCAATGTACGTATTATGTTGTCCATCCGGACAAATTTGTCTCCTTGTGTCTCGATGCATATCCTTGGTTTCGGTGTTGCAATTGGGACAAGATAGGTTTCGCTTGAGTGAGGGATTATGGTAGTCCGCAAAGTCTTCCCACGAAAGCTTGGTGGTGTTTGATTGAACATGTAGGTCCCCCATGAGGCAGACGGATGCTTATTGGCTTGAGTGCAAGACGATGTATCCTTGGAAAAGATTTACAACTTTTGGATGAAAGGAACATTTCACAAAGCGCGAAGAGGCCCCATCGCTGAAAGAGTCAGGTGTCGGAGTTGTTTTGGGACTTCCGCTTCTTTTTCTTTGCACGTTTGTCATATTGTATCTTCCACGATCCGTCATCATCGTGGACGAACTGCCAATTGGCGATATTCAATATTAGTTTTCTCAATCGTGTTAGTCAACTTGATCTCAATTTGGAAAACTACCTCCTTTTGCCGTGTCCTACAAAAGGCTGAGGACTAACTTAGGCACAGTAGCGATTGAAAGATTGCTAAAGAGATATTATGAGCTTAATGGAGAACTACTTCCCTGGGCAGAACACGATAGCCATACTGACATCAGAAGAGAAGGTGTGTACTGGAGACACACAACTTCTACTGCAGTCTTGATAAGATGTATTTGTCAGACTGTTGCCACCTCATTGCCACATCACTGTTGGCTCGTAGCATAGGTAATAGATGTACTTGACATTTGGCAAGATTGCTTTTGAAAAGACTAATGTGGACATGCTGAGTAAGGGGGCGTTTGTAGAAGTACTCATATCAGAGTAATCGATGTTCATTCGACTGATATGATTCGACTAGTTGGACTAATGGACTAATGTGAGCCACGACATTCTGCCACCCAAGGTTATCCTCTAGATTCCAGAGGACCCGACGCGGGAGATAGAAGGGAACCTTGCAAGTAGGATGAAACCACTTCATCGTTGGTAAGGTTTGACTCGTTGTAAGGAGACGCGTTCAATTACATGAGGAGCAAGTCAAATGGTAAGGGTACCATTAGAGTGGACTCGTTCAATACAATATGGTCCATCGGCTCGAGGGTCGAGCTTGTTTGGCTTATAGCAAAACTTTAGAACTTCCTGGCCGGGCTGATAATCATAAGCAAATCGGCGACGATTGGCTTGTATCAATTCTTTGTCAATGAGCTGTTGTCGATGTTGTTGAATGAGCTGAAGGTCAGCTTCCATTGGAAGATCTAGGATCATGTCACGGTGGAAGGGAAGTGATCTGGGCGTAGCGGTTATAGTTCCGTGATAAGAGCAGCGGTGTGCATACACTGCATTTGCAATGGCAGTGTCAACTAATTGTTCGGCATCATTGATGTTGAAAGGGTGGTTCAGTGTAACCAATACTCTAAGAGAGTTGCCAATAGTTTGATGCATCCGTTTGCAAAATGCATTTGCTTGAGGATTCTTGGCAGAGATAGAACGAGGTTCAATTCGGTGTAGATTCAAATGATTTTGAAAGTCGAATTCGGTTCCTTGGTCATGGATGACGGTTGCAGGGCGCGGGTAACGGGCGAGCCAAGCGTTTTCAAACTGAAGCGTTACGTTCGCACACGTTTTGTCCTTAATGCGCACAATTTCGAACAAGTTGGTCACTAGGTCAATGATTGTCAAGGCTCTGAACTTGATCTCTTGACCTGCCACCATGAGTGTCCAGGGACCGATGAGATCAACTGCGAGTTGTTACCAGGGGATGAGTGGAGCTTCCTTGGGAGCAGTGTGGCCGTGGCCTCTACCGACAGCCTTGTGTCGTTGACATGTGTCGCATTTTGAGGTAAAGTCTTCGATAACATTAGATAACTTTGGATTGTGAAAATGGATGCGCATGGTATCCTTGAGGCGCGTGGAGCCCGGGTGGCTGAGAGCAGCGTGATACCATTGGATGGTGGGTTGTAATAATTGTGTTGGGAGATAGATCTTCAATGGAGAATTGGCATCTCTCACATAACAATACACCTGGGTGTCTTGTGCAAAGGTATGTTGGACATACTGTTGAGGTTTGGTTTGCGTCAGCTCGGTAAGCTCAGCGTCCTGAGTTTGAGCATCAGCGATAGACTTGAAATCAAGAACAAAAGGTAAGCTATCCTGAACGGGCAGGTGAACGAAGCAATTGAGTAATTGCAAATCAGTGGCCATAGAATAAAATGAATTTAGAGTATCATGGGATGATATGTTAGCATTGGATGCTGTGGTTCTGTTATCATTTGATGATAGGTCAACATTGGATGTTGTTTCAATGAGAGGGACATACTCTTGGTAGGCTCCAATCGGTTGACAATATAAGTCAATGGGATCCTTAGGGTTGTCATTCTGCCACCAAGGCGGTGTCATAGATAGGCGAGAAAGGGCATCGGCGAGAGTGTTGTGTTCTCCTTTAATGTAATGGAAAATTGGATGGAAATCTTTGAGGAATAGGCGCCAGCGTAGGACGCGTTGGCTTTGGAGATTCTGGAAGGTCAGATTTTTGTGGTCAGTGTAGACATGTAGTTCCTTGACACCATACAGCATGGTGCGATACTCTTTGAGAGTTTCCACAATGGAGAGAATTTCTTTTTCTCCAACAGTGTAGTTCAACTGTGCTTTAGAGAGCTTACGAGAGTAATAGGCAACAGGTTTGCCGTTCTGAAAAATAGCGGCACCCAGTTGATAGTCGCTAGCGTCACAGTAGACGTGAAAAGGTTGATTATGGGCTGGATAGGCCAGAAATGCATCCTTTGAGAGTACAGCTTTGATGTGGTCAAAGGCCTTTTGACATTCAGGTGTCCAATCTAATTTCTTCTTGTTATGTCCAATGCGTGCAGTCAAAGGCGAGAATGTGTGAACGTTTTGTAACATGTCACGGTAAAAGGTTACAGCGCCAATAAAGGAGCGAAGTTCTGAGACAGACTTGGGAGGTTCGAGTCTGAGGATCGCGTCGATCTTCTTTTTCCACGGTTTGATTCCAGTAGGCGTGAGCCAATAACCAAGCCAATCAGTTTCTTGCACACAAAATTCACATTTCAGCGGATTGCAGGTAAAACCATGATCTTGCAAGATTCGCAAGATTTTTCTGAGGCTTTCCATGTGCGAGTTCCAATCGTTGGAAAAGATTCCAACATCGTCAATGTAGACGTCTGCTTCTTCAAAGTCAGCAAGGAGCTGTTCAATGTGTGCTTGAGCAATGTCAGGAGATTGTTTGACGCCCATAGGAAGACGCGTGTAACGATAGTTGCCGAAGGGTGTGACAATGCCACAAAGGTCCTTCGACGCTTCGTCCATTTCAAATGTGTAGAAAAACATCGAAAGGTCAAGCTTTGTGAAATACTTGTAGCCATTTCGTTTCTTTAGAATATCTTGTATTCTTGGCAGTAGCCAAACCTTGCGTTTAATCATCTTGTTTAGTTGCCAAAAGTCGGAAACAAATCTAACTCTACCATCCTTTTTCGGAACAATAAAGGTGGGAGATAAGTAGTCCATTGGACCGCATTTCTCCAAAATACCCCATTGGACCATTTCATCAATAGTTTTCTTGAAGACAGCTTCATGACTCTTGGGGACAGAATATGGACGGTTCTGAAATGGTTTTGCTTCAGGAGTAAGCTTGAGGTGTGCTTTGGGACCTTTGAAAGGGCCAAGTTTGCCGGAACGAACGAGGCTACCGTTGAACAAGGGTTCAAAGTCTTTTATAACATTGTAAAGATCGTTTTGTTGTTTACCATTTAGATGCTGTTGTTGCTTGGCAACATGTTCCAAGGGAACTAAATCATATTTAGATTCTGCAATATTAAAGGAATGAGATATCTGTTGCTGAATGTGTTCATTGAGACTTGCATCAGGGTCTGAGTGATAGCAATGGGTTGCCATCAATTGCGCCATCAACATGGATGTATCTTCGTTTGGATCAGTAGTTTGAGGACTGAGGCCAGATTTGGGCGGCTTATAAGGAACGTGTTTGTCCATCCATTTGATTGTTTTGGCAGATCCGCAACAATCGATTCCAAGGGGAAGTAAAATATTATTTCCAAAAATCATATCGTACCTCCCGTCTGAATCAAAAACAATTGTTTCAAACGTGGATTCCACTTTTTGCGTGGGAGAAAATTCAGGGAAAACGATTCCCTCAATGTTTATGACTTGTGTGGTCAAAGATTGTTTGCCGCTTATCGTTCCATTTTTTTCTTCACGGTTTTTCCATTGATTCCAGCGGGCAAAATTCAACGATGGATGTAAGATTCATCTGATCCAGGATCAAACAACACACGTGCAAGTTTGTTGACACGAGTTTTTTGCATCATCTTTATAACAGAAACAGATTCTGGTCTAAGCAATAAGTTTAATTCTTTACTAATGTCTACTTTCTCACTGATAGTCTCGGGGACTTCTGCACCGTTTTCGTAGGCGTCTTTTACGTTTGACATATATGATAACCTAAGATCGTCTAGAACGTTTGAATCAACGATGTTGTTCAGGCTGTGGAAGCGACAGAAATCAATGTGGTGGGAGATAGTTGGAACATAGTAAGATTCATTGTTCATGTAGAACGCACCATTCTTGTTGGATGAGTCGGTCTCTTTAGAGGTGGTCAAATCATCATCCGGCTTATCTCCAGGGAAATTGATGACAGCAAAGCTGTTGGACTTCTTGTTGCTCATTCGGGCCTTGTAGTTGTTGTTTGCCTTGCACTCGGAGATAGTGTGATTCTTATGATTGGGCTTGAGCGAGCAAATTTCGGTCGGCTTGGCTGTCTTTGCAAGTTCCGCCACGCGCTTGTGGTACTCGTCTTTGTCCATCTTGTTTTCCTCTGGGTCGGTACGAGATTTCTTGAAAGGTTTCGAATTGTCCCTGTGATGGACACCAGCCGTGCGTTTCTTCTTTTTGGATTCGATCTTCTGGTGGAGTTGATTCTTCAATTCCTTGTTGTGTGCTTATCGAGCCTTGCGTTGCATGTAGGAAGTGATGCTGGCAACGGAATGGTTGTCAAGGGTACCGTTGATCTCCAGGAAGGCGTCCTTCCAAGGCTTGGGGTGAGCATTGAAGAAAACTCTCTTGAATTCTTCTTCGTCAAGAGGGTCAAGAGCTTCAGACATGTAAGGGATTGCAGAGTTTACCTTCTTCATGTACATCTGATTGTCCAGCTTGATGATATTGTGGACTCGTCCGTGCTCAATGGTAAAGGATGAGTGAATAACCATGGTTTGATACAGTGATTATCTGACGAGGACGGTCTGATCGAAGATGTAATGTTCATCATACCAGATCATGTGCCCGTTGAGATTATTTAGCTGTGGCTGCGGTGTATTGTCCTTATAGGCTTTAATAAGGACTGGGGCAGAATGTGATGGAAAGATGCTATTCAATATGTTCCCAAAGGATATGGTGCATACCTAGATGATGTGTTTTACATGACAATCATTGCAAAATTGCAAGAAACTAAAAATTGCGGAATGATCTCAGACCGACTCCAATAAAGGCAAGCCACGTAGTTCGGGATGTATATAGTGGGTAAGAACAAACTTTGTCTTCTGGCGCGAGACAATTTTTCATATTTTTTCTAACATCATTGTTGAATTCTGGGAACATAGTGAATGTAGATGGCAAAATGGCCAATAATATATTTCAGCCAAGGCAGACGAATATTGGAAACATTCAAAAATTTCCGCCAGGGAGTGCGGTGATGGATCAAGAAGAGAAGAGATATGTAGTGGTGTGTCTTTACATTGACATTTGCGGCGTGGTATCACATTGAGGGTTTCAAAGATGTATTCGGGTATGCTTCATCAATCCAGAGCGTGGGTTCTTTATCTGAACGCAAAAACTGAAATCTGCTCAGAACAGATATGCAATTGAGCAAAAGCCGTCTCTAACTGTATATTCATCTCCAAATGCCGCAAGAGCCTATTATAATGAGAGAGCAGACTATAGATATCCTATATTATTTCTTTGTATTGATTTGTCGATCCCCTTTGTATATTGCGCTACACCCCAAAAGCAAGAATGCTATTGCGGTGCAAGTAAACTTCGTTTTTAAAAATGAGGTATTACAGTCATTTGCACATGCTGGCTCTCATCATTATGATTTGAATATTGATTTACAGGATACATGGGTTTTTACAGGAGTCCAGGGATACTTGTTGTTACGGGGTTTTAGGAATCTTTACAAGGAAGATTCCTTAATTCCGGGAAAAATCCCTGTTTTTACTGCTATTTCCTGTAAAAAACCAATAAACCTGGTAAATATCCTAGCTCCGTGACGTGGACAGGTACGATGTTCCAATTTGTGCAGTTACGGGGGTCAGGTAAATAATTCCATAAAAACTCCTGCTCCCCTGTAACTTTCGTCCACAGTGTAGTCGTGAAATCGGCTTCACCTTGAAGCTTGATATCCATTGCCTGATGTTTGATTTTCTTGTTTGTCTCAAAGTAGGCTGATCTTCACATGTTATTGTTGAGCTTTGCACAATAGAGAATCTTGTTTTGGGCCATCTCTGTTTCTCTGGCAACAGCTTCAGTTTGAGTTGGAGCGCTCAATCTTGGAGCGATCACATTGAAGTTGATCGACTTCCCATCGCAAATCGATTTCACCATGTCTTTGGAGCACTTCATTCCAGAAGCTTGGATGTAGTCGATCAGTCTTTCTTGGGCATCTTTGTATGGCAATCTTGCCTTTCCATCGTTTTCATCTTTCGTCAAAAATAGATGTTTCACAACTGTTGAACTTGAGTTGCTCTTGACTTTCTGAGGAGTCGCACATCCTCTTCCTCCACTGGATGAAGAATGTCCCATTGTCAACGAATCGCTCACTCCTTTGTAGATAAGGCAATGCTGTTCTTGACGTATATTTGTTTTGTTGCCTTTTGTGATTGAATGTTAGCATAAAGCAAAATGTGCTCTATCATGAGTGCCTTTAGCGCTCAGAACAAACTCTCTGCAATCTAAATTTGTAATCCAATATACAGCACTTTCAGGACAATAGTGCTCCTGTGTTAGGTATACTTTGAGTGAAATTGTTCCTATTTGATTAGTAATGTTTGGCTTGAATTGATGTTTCAATCACAAAAGTGAGTTCAACAATTTTCCCTTCAAAAATCCCTTGTTTACAGGACTCCATTTGACTTCTACTTTGGGACATCTTGTGTTATTCCCTACACATCGTACACAACATCAATATCCCACTTGTATAGGGTCATTCCCGTTTTGTGTGGATATAGATTGTCCGACAGAATTGCGTACGGCATACTTGTGTACAGCATACTTGCGTCAAATCCCGACATCACGATCAAAGTCCGATTGTACGTGTCAAAAACTTTGTACTTGAATAGTTTCTTTTGGAACGTAAAAACTCATATTTTGTCATATCCCAACATGATGGGCCACAAAGTTGTCAATCGGTTTGGATGACGACAAGCCTGTTGCTTGTCTGGTGTCCTCCAGAACCAAAATCCAAGTCTATCTACATGGAATGGGCAAAGCAAAAAAATGTGGCAAAAACGTGTATTTCGAGATTCTCCGATCATAAAAATTTTCCGATCAGAAAAATTTCGAGTTTTCGCGCACGTTATCCAAATGAAGGCTGCAATCAATCGTTTGTGTCCGTAAGTGAATGGGATCGGCATGGAAACCCGTCAATGAAATGATGATGACAACACTCTTTTTAAGAATACAATTTGATCTATGTTAATATCTTTCATGCCTACTACTTTGCAAGTCAACACTCTTGTAATAATGTAACCATTACATTTATATGGTTTATCAGATCCAGCAATAACTGTCAAAAGTTATCCAACAAACAAAACAAAAATGAAATGTATTGGTTGAAATGTATTGAAATGTATTGAAATGTATTGAAATGTATTGAAATGTATTGAAATGTATTGAAATGTATTGAAATGTATTGAAACCTCCGTACAATACATACCGCAGCATTGAACACTAATAAAGTTCCAACCAAATCTCAACAAATCTGGAGCCAGCCGTGCTTATTTCGAAAAATATTGGAAAGTTGGGCAGGTCCCATCCTCTAGATGATGCAGCGACCAATCAAAGCCTGAGCATTGGCAGGAAAATGCTTGCCACTACTCAAAGCTGTAGCGTGTACAGCCTTGATTACTTGAGAATGCAGGCACAAGGTTGTCCAGGCTTGTCGTGCTTCAAGTACTGAAATAGTTGTAAATGTCCGAAAGATGTGTGATAAAACAGTATTC